TCCACACATCCACACTTCCATACATCCATACATCCATACATCCACACATCCACACATCCATACATCCACACATCCACACATCCATACATCCACACATCCATACATCCACACATCCACACATCCATACATCCATACATCCATACATCCATACATCCATACATCCACACATCCATACATCCACACATCCACACATCCATACATCCACACATCCATACATCCACACATCCACACATCCACACATCCATACATCCATACATCCACATCCACACATCCACACATCCATACATCCATACATCCATACATCCATACATCCACACATCCACACATCCACACATCCATACATCCACACATCCACACATCCACACATCCACACATCCATACATCCATACATCCACACATCCACACATCCACACATCCACACATCCACACATCCATACATCCATACATCCATACATCCATACATCCATACATCCATACATCCATACATCCATACATCCACACATCCATACATCCACACATCCACACATCCACACATCCATACAACCATACATCCACACATCCACACATCCATACATCCATACATCCATACATCCATACATCCATACATCCACACATCCACACATCCACACATCCATACATCCATACATCCACACATCCATACATCCACACATCTACACATCCATGCATGCATACATCCATACATCCACACATCCATACATCCACACATCCACACATCCATACATCCACACATCCATACATCCACACATCCACACATCCATACATCCATACATCCACACATCCATACATCCACACATCCACACATCCATACATCCACACATCCACACATCCACACATCCACACATCCACACATCCATACATCCATACATCCATACATCCATACATCCATACATCCTTACATCCACACATTCATACATCCACACATCCATACATCCACACATCCATACATCCATACATCCATACATCCACACATCCATACATCCATACATCCATACATCCATACATCCATACATCCATACATCCACACATCCACACATCCACACATCCATACATCAATACATCCACACATCCATACATCCACACATCCACACATCCATGCATGCATACATCCATACATCCACACATCCATACATCCACACATCCACACATCCATACATCCATACATCCATACATCCACACATCCATACATCCACACATCCATACATCCACACATCCACACATCCATACATCCACACATCCATACATCCACACATCCACACATCCATACATCCATACATCCACACATCCACACATCCATACATCCATACATCCATACATCCACACATCCACACATCCACACATCCACACATCCACACATCCATACATCCATACATCCATACATCCATACATCCATACATCCTTACATCCACACATTCATACATCCACACATCCATACATCCACACATCCATACATCCATACATCCACACATCCACACATCCATACATCCATACATCCATACATCCATACATCCATACATCCATACATCCACACATCCACACATCCACACATCCATACATCAATACATCCACACATCCATACATCCACACATCCACACATCCATGCATGCATACATCCATACATCCACACATCCGTACATCCACACATCCACACATCCATACATCCACACATCCATACATCCACACATCCACACATCCATACATCCATACATCCATACATCCACACATCCATACATCCACACATCCATACATCCACACATCCACACATCCATACATCCACACATCCATACATCCACACATCCACACATCCATACATCCATACATCCATACATCCACACATCCACACTTCCATACATCCATACATCCATACATCCACACATCCACACATCCATACATCCACACATCCACACATCCATACATCCACACATCCATACATCCACACATCCACACATCCATACATCCATACATCCATACATCCATACATCCATACATCCACACATCCATACATCCACACATCCACACATCCATACATCCACACATCCATACATCCACACATCCACACATCCACACATCCATACATCCATACATCCACATCCACACATCCACACATCCATACATCCATACATCCATACATCCATACATCCACACATCCACACATCCACACATCCATACATCCACACATCCACACATCCACACATCCACACATCCATACATCCATACATCCACACATCCACACATCCACACATCCACACATCCACACATCCATACATCCATACATCCATACATCCATACATCCATACATCCATACATCCATACATCCATACATCCACACATCCATACATCCACACATCCACACATCCACACATCCATACAACCATACATCCACACATCCACACATCCATACATCCATACATCCATACATCCATACATCCATACATCCACACATCCACACATCCACACATCCATACATCCATACATCCACACATCCATACATCCACACATCTACACATCCATGCATGCATACATCCATACATCCACACATCCATACATCCACACATCCACACATCCATACATCCACACATCCATACATCCACACATCCACACATCCATACATCCATACATCCACACATCCATACATCCACACATCCACACATCCATACATCCACACATCCACACATCCACACATCCACACATCCACACATCCATACATCCATACATCCATACATCCATACATCCATACATCCATACATCCTTACATCCACACATTCATACATCCACACATCCATACATCCACACATCCATACATCCATACATCCATACATCCACACATCCATACATCCATACATCCATACATCCATACATCCATACATCCATACATCCACACATCCACACATCCACACATCCATACATCAATACATCCACACATCCATACATCCACACATCCACACATCCATGCATGCATACATCCATACATCCACACATCCATACATCCACACATCCACACATCCATACATCCATACATCCATACATCCACACATCCATACATCCACACATCCATACATCCACACATCCACACATCCATACATCCACACATCCATACATCCACACATCCACACATCCATACATCCATACATCCACACATCCACACATCCATACATCCATACATCCATACATCCACACATCCACACATCCACACATCCACACATCCACACATCCATACATCCATACATCCATACATCCATACATCCATACATCCTTACATCCACACATTCATACATCCACACATCCATACATCCACACATCCATACATCCATACATCCACACATCCACACATCCATACATCCATACATCCATACATCCATACATCCATACATCCATACATCCACACATCCACACATCCACACATCCATACATCAATACATCCACACATCCATACATCCACACATCCACACATCCATGCATGCATACATCCATACATCCACACATCCGTACATCCACACATCCACACATCCATACATCCACACATCCATACATCCACACATCCACACATCCATACATCCATACATCCATACATCCACACATCCATACATCCACACATCCATACATCCACACATCCACACATCCATACATCCACACATCCATACATCCACACATCCACACATCCATACATCCATACATCCATACATCCACACATCCACACATCCACACATCCACACATCCACACATCCATACATCCATACATCCATACATCCATACATCCATACATCCATACATCCTTACAACCACACATTCATACATCCACACATCCATACATCCACACATCCATACATCCATACATCCACACATCCACACATCCATACATCCACACATCCACACATCCATACATCCATACATCCATACATCCACACATCCATACATCCACACATCCATACATCCACACATCCACACATCCATACATCCATACATCCATACATCCACACATCCATACATCCACACATCCATACATCCACACATCCACACATCCATACATCCACACATCCATACATCCACACATCCACACATCCACACATCCATACATCCACACATCCACACATCCATACATCCACACATCCATACATCCACACATCCACACATCCATACATCCACACATCCATACATCCACACATCCACACATCCATGCATGCATACATCCATACATCCACACATCCATACATCCACACATCCACACATCCATACATCCACACATCCATACATCCATACATCCACACATCCACACATCCATACATCCATACATCCATACATCCACACATCCATACATCCACACATCCATACATCCACACATCCACACATCCATACATCCATACATCCATACATCCACACATCCATACATCCACACATCCATACATCCACACATCCACACATCCATACATCCACACATCCATACATCCACACATCCACACATCCACACATCCATACATCCACACATCCACACATCCACACATCCATACATCCACACATCCACACATCCATACATCCACACATCCACACATCCATACATCCATACATCCATACATCCATACATCCACACATCCATACATCCACACATCCATACATCCACACATCCACACATCCATACATCCATACATCCATACATCCACACATCCATACATCCACACATCCATACATCCACACATCCACACATCCACACATCCACACATCCATACATCCACACATCCATACATCCACACATCCACACATCCACACATCCACACATCCATACATCCACACATCCATACATCCACACATCCACACATCCACACATCCATACATCCATACATCCACACATCCACACATCCACACATCCATACATCCACACATCCACACATCCACACATCCACACATCCATGCATGCATGTGAGCAGGTGCTAGTGGAAGGCCTCCAGTACTGGTCATTAGCAGACAACGGAACACTGGTGGCTACATCCATGGATCCACAACCCAATGTACGTCTTACATCCTTCAACTCAGTAGATAGATACGTGTGTGTTTAGGTGCGCAATACAAACCCCACGGACCTTTTGAGTCGACTCAAAAGTCAACTCAGTAGATAGACACGTGTGTTTTAGGTGCGCAAGACAAACCCCACGAACCCTCCAGCAGACAGACAACGGAACAGTGGTTGCCGCATTTATGGATCCACAACCCAATGTAGGTCTTACGTCCTTCAACTCAGCATTGGGCATGCGTGTTTTTGGCCAGCGACATGAACCGCACGGACCTCTGGCAGGCAACAGAACAGCCATGGAGCGCTTGCTCCATGGCTGTAGGCCGCTTGCTCGTTGCAATGAGTGAGCGAGTCAGTGAGCGAGTGCGTGAGCGAGTGAGCGAGTGAGCGAGCGAGTGAGTGAGTGAGTGAGCGAGTGAGTGAGTGAGTGAGTGAGTGAGTGAGTGAGCAACTTGCCCAAAATGGTCTGTACTGCACACTCCTCTCCTCCTTTGCTCTTCTTTTCCACCTTGATATACCCACCCACCCACCATCCCACATACATGCTGCACCTCACCCCACCAGGGCTGGAGCAGCTTCACATTCGTATTCAACCCCACCAGAAGCTACTCCCCTCACCCTCATCCTCGTGGATTCTAACTCCAATCACAATCCCCCCCTTTCCCCTGCATGCACCCTCTCCACTGCACTCCACACATCCACCCCACCAGGGCCAGAGCAACTTCACCTCCATATTCAACCCCACCAGCAGCTACTCCCTCGCGCTCATCCTTGTTTATTTCAACTCAACATGTTCAACTCAGCTCAAACCCTCTCCCCTCCCTCGCATGCATGCCTTCCATTGAACTACGCACACACCCCACCAGGGCCAGAGCAACTTCACCTTCATATTCAACCCGACCAGCAGCTACTCTCTCGCGCTCGTCCTCATGTATCCGTCTTCCCCACTTTCCACCCCTCCGCACTGCACACACACACCACACCAGGGCGGGAGCAACTTCACGTTCGTCTTCAACCCAACCAGCAGCTACTCTCTCGCGCTCATCCTCGCACCCAACGGCAAATACCTCCTGCCGTCCTCCTCCGGCCTCCTAATCGCCGCGTTGAACCCTGAACTGCTGCCCTCGGCCTCTCGCTGGGAGTCTGCAGCGGTGTTTAGAGTCGAGCTGGTGAGTCTGTGTGCGTGTGGTCCAACTCCTACACAGATTTACCAACTTTGTTGTCCCCTGTTACTCTCATGTCCTCCCACCAACCCCCTCACCTCTTCACCTTCATCCTCTCCACATCCTTACCTCTCTTTCTCACCTCCCTCCCTTCTCCCCCTCCCCTCTCCTTCCCCCTTTCCCTTTTCCTTCCCAGACGAACCAGGTGAACGGCGGGTGGCAGTACGTCAAGTCACTGGGCGGGCCACAGGCAGCAGCAGCGCCCATGTCCTCCTCCCCTCACCCCCCCTCACCAACTCACTCAACCTTTCACCTCCTCCCTCTCCCCATGTACCCCTCTTTCCCACCTCCCTTCTTCTCCTCCTTCCCCTCCCCCTTCCATCTCCTTCAACCCTCCCCCCCTCTCCCCCGCTTCCTCCAACCAGACCAACCAGGTGAACAGCGAGTGGCAGTACGCCAAGTCACTGGGCGGGCCACAAGCAGCAGCAGAGCCCATGCCCTCCTTCCCTCACGCCCCCTCACCACCTCCCCTGCCTTCACCTCCTCCCTCTCCCCACTCCCCCACCCTTTCCCCATCAGACCAACCAAGTGAACGGCGAGTGGCAGTACGCCAAGTCCCTGGGCGGGCCACAAGCAGCAGCAGAGCCCATGTCCTCCTTCCGCTCCGCCTACCTCTCCGAATCCGACTTCCAAACCATGGCTGCCAACAAGATCAACACCGTCCGCATCCCCGTGGGATACTGGATCATGGAAAGCCCGGCAATCTCACCCTCCGAGTTCCCCTTTCCCTCCGGAGCCCTTGCCTCCTTGGACTGGGCGTTTCGAATGGCGAATAAGTACAAGATCCGCGTGTGGTTCTCTCCTCATGCGGTTTTCGGCACGAATTCGGGGTTCCTAGGGGGGAGGTCTGGCCTGTGCGAGTTCTCCGTGCGAAACAACACCTTGCGGACTCTAGACATGATCGAGTTCTTAGTTAAGCGTTACGCCGCCGATCCGGCTTTCCTCGGGCTCGGATTGATGAACGAGCCTCTAGCCCCGTGGAACTACGGGCTCATGTCCGGAATATCTATCGATCTCCTGTCCTGGTACTATAAGAGCGCGTATGACGTCGTTCGGAAGTACTCTCCATGCGCATACATCGCTTTAGAGGGGCGCGTGGGGAGCTCTATATGGGAGGTGCATTGGTTGCTGTATGGCACGTGGCACACTAATATAGTGCTGGAGCAGCATATGTATAATGTGTTCTACGGATGGGAGGGGCTGACTCCGCAGCAGGAGGTGGATCAGACGCTGACAGGGCGACTGGAAGAAATCAAGGGGCTGCAATCGGTGAGAAAATTGGGGGGGTGGGGGTGAGGTTGGGGGAAGGGGGAGGGAAGGGGGGGGGGGGTGGGGGGATAGGTGGGAGGAATGGGGAGGGAAGGGGAAGGAATAAGAAGGGAATGGGAAGGGCAGGAAGTTGGGGGAAAGAGAAGGGAAGGGGGGAGCGGGGAGAGCAGCACATGTATAATGTGTTCTACGGATGGGAGGGGCTGACTCCGCAGCAGGAGGTGGACGAGACGAGACGCTGAGAGGCCGACTGGAAGAAATCAAGAGGTTACAATCGGTGAGATGGTGGGGGTGGGGGGGGTGGGGGGGGAAGGGGGAGGGAATGGGGAGGGAATGGGGAGGGAATGGGGAGGGAATGGGGAGGGAATGGGGAGGGAATGGGGAGAAAATGGGGAGAAAATGGGGAGGGAATGGGGAGGGAATGGGGAGGGAATGGGGAGGTAATGGGGAGAAAATGGAGAGAAAATGGGGAGGTAATGGGGAGGTAATGGGGAGGTAATGGGGAGGTAATGGGGAGAAAATGGGGAGGGAATGGGGAGGGAATGGGGAGGGAATGGGGAGGGAATGGGGAGGGAATGGGGAGAAAATGGGGAGGGAATGGGGAGGGAATGGGGAGGGAATGGGGAGGGAATGGGGAGGGAAGGAGTGGAGTGGGTGGGTGAAGCGGGAGGGAGGAGGAAGGAGGCAGAGGAGAGAAAAGGGAGAGTGGGGAGCAAGGGAAGAGGAAGGGGAGGATGGAGAGGACGCGTGAGGTGGTGGGAGAAAGGGGGTGGGGAGGGGACCCTGTCTGAATAGAGAGGGCAGTGTATCATGTCTGCTTCTTTGGCCTGTTCATCCTTCCTCTTCCATCTTGTTGTTCTTGTTCTTCCCCCCTCTTCCCGTTCCACGTTTTTTCCCTCATCCACCACCCCATCTCTCCCCACTCCCTCCGCCCTCTCTCCCACTTTCTCTCCCTCCCTCTCCCCACATTTCTATTCCCCCTCCCCATCTCCTACTCTCTCAACATCCCTGCTCCCCCTTTTTCCCTCTCGACCCTCCCTCTCCCCCTCTCTCTTTACCCTCCCGCACCCCTCGCTCGCCGCTCTCTCTCCCCTCCCTCTCCGCTCTCTCTCCCCTCCCTCCCCCCCTCCCTCTCTCCGGCTCACTGAACGCAGTGGGGCATGCCAGTGCTGGTGGGCGAGTGGTGTCTATCAATGCGCAACCCAGACCCCTCAGTGACAGCCCAGTTCGGTCTCAATCAGCTCAAAGCATTCTCCACAGCCAAGGCCGGCTGGTTCTTCTGGTCCTACAAGCATAACATCTCGGGTGAGACTCTCTTTCTCGGCAAAAACTGCTTTAATTCTATTATGTCGGCTGTTCAGTTTATCTTAAACTGTTTTAATTCTATTATGTCGGCTATTATGCCTCGGCAGAGGAATAATGCTTGTTTCACAAGCACCAACGGGTGTGCATTCAGTATCACCCATGCAGCAAGCAAGCATGCTCACTGTTGTTTCTTCAGGCTGGGATCACTGGAGCTTCGTCAAGAGCTCAGCTAATGGGTGGCTGCCACGTAAGCCAGATGGATCGTGGTGGTAACTACAGCCAACCTCAGTGTACAGTGACTATATTTTCGTCTTAGCTTTGTGTTAACGGATCTTGGTTTGTTGATGGCATGGCTTAACACATCACAGATGCATACAAACCGCTGTGGCCTTTACTTCATTCGTCTCACTACAGTGTCATGATGTCTCACAACGAGGCCCTTCAGAGAATACAGCCCTGGCAATTTCCAGTATATTGATGCTATTGATGCTAGAAAAAAAGCATGTACCAGTATATAGATCGGTGTTCTCTTCATCCTTCCATTCCCTGCATTGCCTAATAACCGACAAAAATGATAATGACGACACGCGTACCCCCCATAGTGGCCACCGAGCCACATGGTCCTTCATCCTTCGAGTAAACCACAGAACATATGTCAAACCTCTCGCCTCACAACCCTCAGGGCCAGACAGGTATCAGCAGTAAATTCACTGCTCCCAATCCTGCTCCTGTTGCCAGTGCTGCTGGCGCTGCTGGCGCTGCTGGTGCTGCTGGTGCTGCTGGCGCTGCTGGCGCTGCTGGTGCTGCTGGCGCTGCTGGTGCTGCTGGTGCTGCTGGCGCTGCTGGCGCTGCTGGCGCTGCTGGTGCTGCTGGTGCTGCTAATGCTGCTGGCGCTGCTGGCGCTGCTGGTGCTGCTGGTGCTGCTGGTGCTGCTGGCGCTGCTGGCGCTGCTGGTGCTGCTGGTGCTGCTGGTGCTGCTGGCGCTGCTGGTGCTGCTGGTGCTGCTGGTGCTGCTGGTGCTGCTGCTGCTGCTGCTGCTGGTGGTGGTGCTGCTGGTGCTGCTGGTGCTGCTGGTGCTGCTGCTGCTGCTGGTGCTGCTGGTGCTGCTGCTGGTGGTGAGGTGATGTTGCTGGTGCTGCCAATCGTGGTGCTGCTGCTGCTCCTACTCTTCCTCCTTGGCCTATCTCTGGTTGCTCTGCCTTGCTTTGAGCTCCTGTTTCCACAGACACATGGGCGCACGAATGCATGGTGTTAGGGGGCATGGGTCCAGGGCACATGGGGGAGCACACGTGCCATATGGCATGCAGGTATGAGGGACAAGGACGAGATTTCAGAAAGCAACCTTGGGGTGGGGGGGGGGGGCATCATTTTGATAGATTCCTCAGATTCAGACTCAGCCCCTGCGCTGACCGCAAGCTGTGCCATAGGTGGCATCTGCCATGATAGACGCCACCTGGTGCTATGCTGACATCCGCGGTCCATGGGCTGGGCCTCACACCTGGTTGATGCGAGAGAATGTGTGGTCCTGGTCCTCCATAATCCTGGTCCTCCATAATCCTGGTCCTCCATAATCCTGGTCCTCCATGGTCCTGGTCCTCCATGGTCCTGGTCCTTCATGGTCCTGGTCCTCCATGGCTCTGACCTGCTTTGAATCGAAACTTCCCTTCATCCAGCCTACAGCAGCTGGGGCTTGCTTCTCCAAGAGAAGCTACACCAACGCTGTATCACCACCAGCACCTCGCAACGCAATTGCACACTAGGATTAACCGTACTACCCATGAGTTCACAGGCCACTCTCACCTTGTTGATGCGTGAGAATGTGCGGTCCAGCATGGCCCTGACCTGCTAAGAGCCTAAAGAACATCTGTTCACAGGCCACTCTCACCTTGTTGATGCGAGAGAGCGTGTGCTCCTCCATGGCTCTAACCTGCTAATAATCTAACTCCCTAATCCTCCCTTCTACTAGGTACACTCAAGCCTCTCACAGGCTTCTCTCACCTGGTTGATGCGAGAGAACGTGTTCTCCTCCATGTCCCCACCTGCTTTGGATCAAACTTCCAATTGTTCCCTTCTAAACACACTCAAGCGTCTCACAGGCCTCTCTCACCTGGTTGATGCGAGAGAACGTGTGCTCCTCCATGGCCCTGACCTGCTGCTCTGACAGCCCAATCCACTCGTCCATCCAGCATACCACTGCCTGGTTCGTCTCCAGACTCAGCCTCCTCTGCAGCACCTGTGATGGCGAGATGCAGGTGCACATGCAGATAGGCATTCATTTATCGTGCACAGAGGTGCGTGCAGGCACCATGCGTACATGCACCAAGGCATGCATGCATGCGCACACACACATGGACGTGGACACACACCCATACATGCACACACGCGCACTCATGCATGTGCACACATACACGCATACCTTCACCCCCCCCACACACACACACGTGGTGTTTCAGATTAAAGAATGCAAGGGCAAGGAACAATTGAGGAACAAAGAATACAGAGGTGGGGGCTGGGTGGGCAAAGGAGGGAAGTGGGAACGGGTAAACTTCCCACTGCCTATGGTAGCCCTGACAATGCTTGTGAACCAAGGGAGCCTATACCCCACCACAATCGAGTAATACCACCCTGCTATACCCACCCCACCTGACCCATGCACCGCTATATGCCTGGAGGAAAGCTGGAAATCAAGCAGCGATCGACACCCTTTTTTTGAGACGTCTCAAAACTGACCCACGGACCGCTATATGCCTGGAGGCAGGCTGGAAATCAAGCAGCGATCGACACCCTCTTCCAGCTAATCTTGTCTTCAGCCATGAGACTAGGCGAGCTGCAGCTTAGGAGAATTCTTTAGCAGAAGAAAAACAGTAGAGTTAAAACTCTTGTGTTGCCAGTTCAAAAAACAAGATCGAAACTGAGCTCTAAGTCCACTACAACGATTAAAACGCAAACATGTTTCGGACGACTGGGACAGACCCGCGTCAATCCTTCCGCTAGCACTGATGAAGGATTGACGGGGGTCTGTCCCAGTCGTCCGAAACATGTTTGCGTTTTAATCGTTGTAGTGGACTTAGAGCTCAGTTTCGATCTTGCTTTTTGAACTGGCAACACAAGAGTTTTAACTCTACTGTTTTTCTTCTGCTAAAGAATTCTCCTAAGCTGCAGCTCGCTTAGTCTCATGGCTGGAGGCAGGCTGGAAATCAAGCAGCGATCGACACCCTCTTCCAGCTAATCTTGTCTTGGCTTGTACTGGTACTTGCAGCCCTCAAAACACCAGATAGTGCATGCAGCAGCCTCGAAACCTTGCAGCTGAACCTGTTCCCCCCTGACCCAGAGCCAGAGACCATATGCTCAACTGACCTTGGCAAGGTACTTGTAAAGGCGGGACCCTAAGGGCAAGACCCTAAGAGCACTGTACTTCTGTTGAGAAGGCTACTGAGTCGACTCGAGAGCCCCTCTGTTCAAAATTCAACTGACCTTGGCCAGGTACTTCTCAAGGCGGGACCCAAAGCCCCAGCAGGGCACGTCCACTGTGACCACCTTGTAGGCTATCATTAGGGGCGCGCTGTGTGCCTGGGGAAGGGGAGAGAGGGAGCGCAGGGTGGGAGGTTTGGTGAGTTGGTTCAAAACGGGTAAGGCACGTCCACTGTGACCACCTTGTGCTGTCATTAGGGGCGCGCTGTGCGCCTGCAAGGAGGTGCGGGAGGGAGCGCCGCCGGGGCGCGGGGGGTTGAGTTGGCTTAGAACGAGTAAGGCACGTCCACTGTGACCAGCTTGTATGCTGTCAACAGGGGCGAGCTGTGCGCCTGAGGGGGGGAGCACGCAGGGGGGTGGTTTAGTCGAATCAAAGCGAGTAGGGCACGTCCACTGTGACCACCTTGTAGGCTGTCATTAAAGGCGAGCTGTGCGCCTGAGAGGGGAGGGGGAGAAAAGGGGAAGGGGGAGAAAAGGGGGAGTGGGAGAAAAGGGGAAGGGGGAGAAAAGGGGAAGGGGGAGAAAAGGGGGAGGGGGAGAAAAGGGGGAGGGGGAGAAAAGGGGAAGGGGGAGAAAAGGGGAAGGGGGAGAAAAGGGGGAGGGGGAGAAAAGGGGGAGGGGGAGAAAAGGGGGTGGGGGAGAAAAGGGGGAGGGGGAGAAAAGGGGGAGGGGGAGAAAAGGGGGAGGGGGAGAAAAGGGGGAGGGGGAGAAAAGGGGGAGGGGGAGGTGGAGGATGAGGATCAATCTCTGAGAACGCTCAGAAACACACTGTGACCACTTTGTATGCTGTGTCATGGGAAGGGGGAAGGGAGATCTGTGCGCCGGCGAGGGGAGGGGGAGGGGGCGTGAATTGAAACTGAGCGTGTGTTACTTAAGCTGGTGTTTACACACACACACACACACACACACACACACACACCACACACACACACACACACACACATGCACGCACGCACGCGTGCACGCAAAAATACACATCTCCATGCTACACACCCACCCCCATCACCCCACCATCCAGGCACAGCCACGCATGCATTCAGAGCTCCCACCCCCCCCTTTGCCCTGCCATCTCCCACCTGCCATCCCGGCTTGAAAGGCCCTCTGCCAGTCTTGGCCGAAACAAACGTAGACGGATGATTCGACACACCGCTGCCGCTACCACTGCCGCTACCGCCTCCACTGCCACTGCTGCTCCCGCTGCTGCTACTCCCGCCGGAAATCGCACCATCCACACACCGACCGTCAGCTCTCAGCCCTTCCCGTTCCCTCCCGGTCTTGCCCTCCTCGCTACCTCCCTCTGCTATGTCCAGTGTTTCCACTGTGCGATGTGCCAGCATGTCAGGCGGGAGGGAGAGGGCCTGTAGGGAGGGATACAGCAGTAGGATTGGAAGAATGGGGAGGGATGCAGAAAAGGAGGGAGGAGGGAAAGCGGGGATGGAGAGGCGGAAATGTGGGGGAATGGGGAGAAGAAGACGGGATGTAGAGTGGGCAGATGGGTGGAAGGAGAAACAAAAGTGGGGAAGAAAGGCTTAGGATAGGTAATCAGACAGAGAACTGGGAGAAACGAGAAACAGAAGTTAGGATTGGGCAGTATGGGCAGGCAGGTAAGTACAGGTAAGCTGCTATGGAGCAGGTGGGGTGAAAGCTGGAAAGACAATTCGAGGTCAAGGAGAGGAGAGCACGTAAAGGAGCAGTTCAGGAATGAGATGCAAGAGAGAAAGGTGAGCTGAGGTGGGGTGAGATGCAGTGCGGTGCGGTGGTTACGTTGTTCTGTGGGTGGCGGTCATTGGTGTAGAGCGACTCCACTCGCAGCATGAACTTGCTGAAGAATGGGCTCTGATACCATGACAGCAGTTCATGGGCGCGAGATGGGAAATGGGAGATGGGAAATGGGAGAGGGGAGAGGGGAAAGGGGAGAGGGGAGAGGGGAGAGGGGAGAGCGGAGAGGGGAGATGGGAGAGGGGAGAGGGGAGAGGGGAGATGGGAGAGGGGAGAGGGGAGAGGGGAGAGGGGAGATGGGAGATGGGAGAGGGGAGGGGGGAGAGGGGAGATGGGAGATGAGAGAGGGGAGAGGGGAGAGGGGAGATGGGAGATGAGAGAGGGGAGAGGGGAGAGGGGAGATGGGAGAGGGGAGATGGGAGAGGGGATAGGGGAGATGGGATATGGGAGAGGGGAGAGGGGAGAGGGGAGATGGGAGATGGGAGAGGGGAGGGGGGAGAGGGGAGATGGGAGATGGGAGAGGGGAGAGGGGAGATGGGAGATGAGAGATGGGAGATGGGAGATGAGTGGGAGAGAGGAGAAAGAGAAGACATGGTGCGGACTTTGGGGTGGTGTGATAAGGCAGGGTAATAAAAATACAAATAGGAGCACTGAGTAGGGATCGGAAAAACTGCATGCAGGAAAATAAGGGTGGGACAACAATCACAAGAAGCAATGGCAGAAAATAATCATTTTAATTTTAGAGCTCTTTTGCATGGACAATCTGGTAAGGAAGAGGAGAGCAAGGAGATAGACTGCCAGCCTTACTGTGATTTCTGGTCGTTCCAAATGGCACCACACGTGCACGGTGATGGCATGACGGCATGACCATCCCGGGTAGCGTTCGCACCGCAACCAATGTGAGATTGCAAAAATGCAGACACAGACGAAGAGGGAAGGAGGGAAGCAAGGGAAAGAACTGGAAAATGAGGCGAGGTAAGAAAGTAGCAAATGTCTCCCTCTCACTCAAATGGTCCTGAAATTGATTGATTCAGAGGAGGTCTCTCCCCCTTCACCAGTGGCGCAGTGCGGGTACGCATTCCATGCCCTCACTCTCATGCGACTTCGCAAAAGGCTTGCGACAGCGCAAAAGTATTCCCCTCTCTAGTAGTTCCCCCCTCACCAGTGACGCAGTGGGGGTATGCATTCCATGCCCTTTCCTCCACTCGCAGCGCCCGCCGGGGGACCAGCGCTGCTATCCACGCCGGCAGCTTCCTGGAAACAGGGAGGGTTGAGGGGGAGGGTAGGGGAAGGGAGGTGCTGGGATGGATCGAGAGCATGGAGTGGGCAAAGGTGCTGTGAATGAGGACGCAGAGAGTGAGTGAGTGCATGTGTGTGGGGGTGTGAGTGAGTGAGGGCATGAGTGAGTAAGCATGTTCACCTGTATGCTGCAAGGGGCGAAGAGGTCTCACAAGCGGAAATGGCCTCACAAGCAACCAGCACTGCGGCACAACTAGCGATTTCCTATAGAAACAGCCAAGTCAAACCGTCCATCCTTCATAATGGCACCCACTTGTTCAGGTGATAAATCTTGTGGGTGTAGTACCCCTCCTCTGTATCACCAGCTGGGTCTAATGTCCCAACACCTCCTTTCTCCCTCTCCTCCCCTTCACCCATTCCAACCCCTGCGTTTCCCTCCTTCCCTTCTCCCCCTTCACTTTCTCCCTCACAGCCAGTCTGCACTACAGCAGTCCCCGTCCCCTCGCTCTGCACCCCCAAGTTCTTGGACCCATCACTCTTCCCGCTATCCCTGCTGCTGCTGCTCTTGCTGCTGCCGCTAGCAGCAGTGCATGCTGATCCATCCGTTCCTCCTCCTCCTCCTATTCCTCCCCCCCTCCGCCTGCTAAAGGGCTCGTTACACAGCACCTCCACTCCATCACCATCGCTATTGTCACTCTCCCTCTCACTCACACGCACCACCATGTAAAGCTGGCCTATGCGGTACTGAAATTCCGGGGGAGAGGGATGTTAGTAGGAGAATTGAGGGGAAAGCGGGTGAAAGGGAGGAGAAGAGAAGCATAAGGGGAGGGGGGGACAAGCAAGAACGGGAGGAAGGAGGCAGGATGATAAGAGATATAACAATTGCATGGTGATGGGACGAATGGTGATAATGGCGAGGGGAAAGTGCAAAGCTGCTGGAATTGCTTCATTGTGACTTCATGGGACCGAAAATGAAGCAGGGGAGGAGTGGAAGAGGATTTTAAGAAGAGGTGTTCGGTGTTCACCTCTTGCACAGATAGAGGCATGGGGATGCGGCTGTACGTGTTAGGGACACATGACCAACGTCCATGGAGGAAAGGAGGAGTTGAAAACGAGTGTACATGAAATACGGGACGGCAGGTGAGGTATGGGAGTAGATAGATGAGAATGACACAAACGGGAAAAAGTGTGGTGAGTTTACATAAAAGGGAGGTATAATTTAGAAAATCACAGGATTCAACTCACGAAACTCGGGCATATACAAGGAAAAAAGAGTGGTGGAATAGCAAACAGATGTATCTGCGACAGCCTCAGGAGCCAGATGAGATCAAAAGAGGCATTCATGACTGTTAAGCTTGACCGAAGTGTCCATTCAGCAGTAAACCCAGGCCAATCCGAGAACAATTTAAACAACCGCATGAACATATGACACAAGAAATTTCTCCTTATTCCCACAGGAGATGCCCAGCACAGCACGAATTTCAACGGGACAGGATATGTCGCCAGAGCAGGTTTGAGGCGTCTTTTGACTCAACACGACAGGGATATGTAGAGTTTTGAGACTGCTTTGGGGACATCTTATAACTCAGCACGACTTGATATGTTTCCCAGGACTAGGACAATCGGCTCACTATTCACAGACGGTCACCATCTCGACCGTCCGCTGCTGCGTTCCACCGGATCGTGATGAATGTGAAGGTTTCGCCCTGATGGACCCCGGCAGACAGTGATCTAACTTTCAAATTCCTGCTGAAACCTCTGTTGTTGATCAAGTACGGATTCGTCGCACTGGTGATCCTGCTTCGCTGATTTGTGCAGGAAGTTTTAACATGCCCTTGTATGATAGAGATAGTGAAGGGAATAAGACTCGGCTCTAAGTAAACGGCACTCCTCCGCAACACTGAGAACGCCACGCGAAGCACACTTAACCGAATCACGGAACCCAGCAGCAGATCCACTCCGCTCGACCGACCTGATTGCGCGGATTTGCGACTCCGCCGCTCCCCAGCAACAAAGTCACATCCCGCTTGCGGCCGGTGTGCTCCGCGGGTTCACGTTTCCCGCCACAGTGCGACTAATAGGCGGGAAAGCTTTGGGATATGACCAGAGCGACTACAGGGCCCGCGTTTAGAAGCGCGGCCCCGTCGTCTGTGCTGTGATTGGCCGGAGCCACTTCGTGGTTCGGCATGGGGAAAGTTTGGGCCTGAGCCATGCGCAAACCTTACTTTGACGGAACCGTGTAATCGGTAATGGGCTCAGGGAATGGTTGCGCAAGATCACGGAATCGACGGCCAAGATACTGACATCAGGACAATCTAGTTGTGTCCGTTGGGGAATCTCACGTGTCAGTGAGCTGAGATCGAAGACGGAGTTATCGATGCTGAAGGTTATGGTCCCCTCCCCACACAATCCTCTTCTACTGCCCGCAGAGGCAACGGGAGAACAGCATCATCCCCACCAAAAGACGACCCCATGCTTTTAGTAAAATTGGGTGAGGGGGCTTATATTCTACGGTAGAATCAATTGAGCTCCATGACATAAGGCATGAGCTAATGCTACCTTGGACATATATGACATCTTGTAGTAGAAGCTTCATGTAGGCCAGTGCAACCAGCATTTATAATATTGATATGGCTTTTAACGAAAGTTAGATTCTGAATTGAAATACCGGTAGAATAGTTTTTTAATGTGGATAATAATACAAGAAAATCCCAGATTATGATTCATAAATACAGATATCCTTCATTTTTGTGGCAGTGTGATGGTGTAAGGAATTTGCCAATTCCTTACTGTAGCCTTGCCTTAACGGGAACAGCCCGATCACTTCGCGTCAAGTGGCTCGGCCTACATTTCCGCACCGAACCAATACCGAGTCGCCCCGCACCAATCGCGACGCATCCAAACCATCCACGTCCCGAGGTCCTCGCCTAGCACGGTTTCGACCCTATAAATGCGTGCTCCTTTATCATTGTTGGGGATTCAGTAATTCTGTATTCGACATCCTTTTTTTTTATAAAGTCTTCCGCGCACGCTGTCTAGTAAAACTTATAACACTTGGTATCAGAGCTACTTTCCTAGCTTTCCCGTTTTTTAGAGTGTAATACCCCTCGGGGGGGGGGACAGGGAAGGATGCCGTGGTGACAGGAGCAGCGCAAGAGCCGGCCAGGAGAACGGGTAGTTGCTCTTAACGGCCATGAATTTCAAGGCGCTCCTAAGGCACCGACGGATCCTTGCCCTCGACGGTCGAGATGGACCGTGGCCTCCCTCCCCCCGGGTGGCGGACAGCTTTTGCTGTCGTCGCAATTAATGCGTGAGTATTAGTAGTCGTTTTCGGCAATTTCGGAGTTAATGATGTGTAGCGGCTGACGTCGGCAGGCTCGTCGTCGGCGCACGTCCGAAGTTGTCGGAAGCAAGATCGTCGTGCGAGTTGCGTCGACACGTGGTCGACAGCTGCGCGCGACAATTACGGAGCTTATTGCGGGCGGCAAGTGGCGATGGGCGTCTTCGTCACGTTGCACACGAGCTAGTGAAAGTCTTCGGCAAGTGGCGCGTCGTCACTGTGCGCGAAGATTTCGGGTAGCAGTGTCAGAACATTATAGCTTACTTATTTGTGTAGGCTATAGTGGGGTATCCCATAGGGGGTACAACCCAGCTAGGGTTTCCTATTTGTACTCACTTCGTTCATAGTTCACACATTCTCTCGTTCACTTCTTCACATGGAATCAGAGCAGGTTCCCCTGTGGGAACTGTGCTTCGGGCCCACCACCTAGAACTTTTTTTTCTGCCCTGGCGCCCGCCCTAGTGCCCGCCCTAGCGCCCGCCCTAGCGCCCGCCCTTTCGAGCCGCCCGTTCGCGCCGCCCGTTAGCGCCGCCCGTTAGCGCCGCCCGTGCGGCTGCCCGTTCGCGCCGCCCTTTGCGCAGCCCGTAGCGCCGCCCGTGCGGCCGCCCGTTAGCGCCGCCCGTGCGGCCGCCCGTAGCGCCCCCCGTGAGCCGCCGCCCGTAGCGCCGCCCGTGAGCCGCCGCCCGTGGCGCCGCCCGTGCACCGCCGCCCGTGAGCTGCCGCCCGTGGCGCCGCCCGTGAACCGCCGCCCGTGAGCTGCCGCCCGTGAGCCGCCGCCCGTAGCGCCGCCCGTGAGCCGCCGCCCGTAGCGCCGCCCGTGAGCCGCCGCCCGTAGCGCCGCCCGTGAGCCGCCGCCCGTAGCGCCGCCCGTGAGCCGCCGCCCGTCGCCACCCTTTAGCGCCGCCCGTGAGCGCCGCCCGTGACGCAGCCGCCCGTGAACCGCCGCCCGTGACGCAGCCGCCCGTGACGCCGCCGCCCGTCCCGTCGCCCCCCCCCCCCCCGTGACGCCACCGCCCGTCCCGCCGCCCGCCCGTCACGCCGCCCGCCCGTGAGCCGGCGCTGCCCGCGAACCGCCCACCCGTGGGCCTTCCGCCCGCCCGTGAGCTACCGACGCCGCCCGTGAGCAGCCGATGCCGCCGCCGCCACCCGTGAGCCGCCGACGCCGCCGACGCCGCCCTGTGAGCAGCCGACGCCGCTGCCGCTGCCGTCGCCCGTGAGCCGCCGACGCCGCCGCCCGTGAGCCGCCGACGCCGCCGCCGCCGCCCGTGAGCCGCCGACGCCGCCGCCGCCGCCCGTGAGCCGCCCTGGCCGCCCGTGAGCCGCCCAGCCGCCCGTGAGCTCCCCGCGCGCCGTCCCAGCCGCCCGTGAGCCGCCACCGAGCTGCCCCAGCCGCCCGTGCCGCCGCCCGAGCCGCCTGAGCCGCCCGAACCGCCCGGGCCGCCCGCGCCGCCCTAGCCCGCCCGAGCCGCCCGAGCCGCCCGACCCGCCAGAGGAGCTGCTCTCCTGCTCCTGTCGGGCTACTGCTGCTCCTGGGCTGTGTACCTGCGCCGCTGACCTACCCGACTCTTCCTGCCCGGTGAGACTGTCAGCTACTGTCATGGCCACCCCCAATGTCCTAGCTTTTGACGCTGAGGGTAGAGCCATTGACTTTGCAGTCTGGATTGAGGACCTGCAGCTGTACTTACTGTGTGATGCGGTCGATGAGGTCTCTCTCTTTGACTTTGTCTCTGGAGCTGTCCCTGCCCCTCCTCCTGATGCTGATTCCGCCGTTCGCTCCAAGTGGGCGACCCGCGATGCTGCTGCACGTCTTGCTGTGCGTCGCCACCTCCCTTCCTCCGAGCGTGCCCACTTTAGTCAGTGCAAGACCGCTCAGGCCTTGTACGACGCTGTAGTTGCACGCTACTCCTCCCCTTCCTCCGCTACGCTGAGCCGCCTCATGCTACCTTTTCTCTTCCCTGACCTCGCTGCCTTTCCCACTGTCGCTGACCTCATTACCCACCTCCGCGCTAGGGACGCTCGCTACCGCGCTGCCCTTCCTGCTGAGTTCCGCGCCGCCAACCCTCCTCCCATGTACATCACTCTCTACTTTCTTGTCACCCGTCTTCCTGAGTCCCTCCGTGTCGTTAGGGACCAGTTTCTCTCTGTCTGTCCCACCACCCTCACTGTCGACCTCCTTGAGGAGTCCCTGCTAGCGGCTGAGAAGAGCATAGTCGCTGTAGGGGCCTCTCGGGGTGACCCTCGCACCCCCATCTTTGAGGGGTGTTCTCCTTCCCCCCTGCTGCCCTCTGTCGCCTCTGCCGCTGCGGCCGACCTCACTGGTTTTGAGTCGGTCGGTGCGGCGTCTGCCCCCAACGGTAGACGCCGCTCTGGCAAGGGCAAGGGGGGCAAGGGAGCGGGTGGAGCTAGAGGGGGCAGTGGCGGAGGAGGTGGGGGTGGCGGGGGGAGTGGGGGTGGCGGTGGAGGTGGTGGCGGGAGTGGAGGTACTGGTGGAGGCGGTGGAGGCGGAGGTGGCGGCGGGGGCGGTAGCGGAGGAGGCGGGGGCGAGGGTACCAGTGGGGGCGGTGACGGTGGAGACGGGGGCGGTGGTGGAGGCGGGAGTGGCGGTGGCGGCGGGGGTCGGAGTGTCTCGTCCCAGCGCAGCAGCTCTGGGGGTGGTCAGCGCCAGCAGCAGCAGCAGCAGCAGCAGCAGCAGCAACGCTCTCGCAC